CCCCCCCCCCCCCCCCCCTCCTCTTCCCGGTAAGAAAAAAAAAAGGAGTCGACGACCCTCGCTGCAAGCAAGCCCTGCAGCGGAGAGAAAAAAAATAACAACCTCATGTTCGTTGATTGCCCGCACAAAAGCTTGCCCGTGGACCACAACGGTCTCGGCGTTCTCCAACCACATTTTTTCCTTGATACTCCTTTGTTGCCGCAAGGCATCCTCTCAATTGTTGTTGCCAACCAAACCCACACGTCTTTGCGGAGGCGCACGTACCCTCGGTGCTTGACGCTACGAAAAACAATGGTGACTCATGCATGCCAGGAGCACACACCCACACGCTTCCACTTCGACGATTGCACGGAAACAAGTAAGTTCAGCAGTGCATGTGGGTGTTATTGGCCGCCAAACATCTCCTTCTCGAGCTTTGCTACCATTTGTTCCATGAATTTTACTCTCGTCTGGTAACCAGGCCGCTTTTGTCCCTCCTCTTCCACAATCTGCTCCGAATATTTCTGGTGGTCGGCGCACATTGCTTTCTGCAGAGCGTATGCAGCAGCCTTGGTATCGAGGGCAGCAGACTTGCTTTCCTCTTCCTCTTGTTTCAGTCGCCACTCAGATTTCTCCGATCCGCCACGCGACAGGAGCGGCTCAATATCTAAGAGTGCGGTTTTCATGGCAACGGACGTAGCCTCTGCCACGTTCTGCCCCCCCCCCTTCTTTTTCTGCTTCGTCCCCCGCCTGTTCTGCTCGTCGAGCCTCGCGCCCTCCCGCTTGGCGGACGCCCGGCGCTCGGCACCGCCTGTACAGCCATCGCCCTCTCCGGTCCCGTCGTCCTCTCGCTGAGCGTCCACCGGGAGGGGATTGTTGCACACTTGGTCAAGCTCGGGGTATTTCTCGATTGCGCAACCGAGAATGTACGTGTCCGTGTCCCCTGTGAAAAAAAAAGAAAGCGCAAAGCGCGGGCGGGGAGTGGTCTGTTTGGAGCAATTGGTAAGGTGTTTGGTCTTGCTTCAAAATACACGATAAAAGCTCATGGTGCAGACAATCCTTTTCAATCAGGCCTCAACGTGGACGTCATCCCGGGAGTACGTTTTACAACACTGTTGACAACTACAAGTGCAATATCAAAACGCCGACCGTAGCAGCACTTACACGCTGAAGTAGGATCGGCACAATTGACGCCACGGCCACAAAATCGCCCAAGGTTCCTGGAGAAAACAGGCGCTGTTTTATACCAAGCCCTACGTCACCCATCTCTTACCTTGGCAGAATGAAAGCCATGGCTGGTTGTTGCCGGATTCACTCTTCCAGTTGGCATTAGGCGTGTTCCATTTCGCCTTTGCCGCAGACCACATCTTGGTAATCTTTTCCGCCGAGATGTTCGGTTGCTGGATGATGTTCGGGTTGACGTGACTCACTTGTTCGTCGTCCACGATTTTTCTCACCTGAAAATCGTCCACAGCAACGATAGGTCAGACATACAGCGAGGGAGCGAGGGAAGGAGCAACGCAGATCATACACGTGTTCCTTATACCTACCTACAAAGATGACGCCCCCCGGACGTGCGAGGAATTTAACTCGATTTCGATACGAAAAAAAAAAAGAACGGGGGGAATGCACCTCTTTTGCGGGAAGGGCCAATGTCGGTCTTTTCCCGGCCTGTTATTTTCTTCTGGCGTAAAATATTGTCTGGCTTTCTGTGCATTCTTTTGACAAATTTCAGCGCGTTTTCAATGTTTTTCACAATAATAGGCAACGAAGCAACTACAGCAATATCTACAGCAGTATGGTCGTCGGCGTCAGCAACAACTACTTAAGTTACCGGTAGACGTCAACAGCAGGTTGACCCGCTCTTGGGGTTGGATACCTAGTGGCATTTTACCTAAAACGATGGCGCGATCGTCCGTGGACGTTATGAGGTGTTGAATACCATGCCTAAAAATAACTATCACTGAACGGCATGTGTTGTCAACATACACTTCGGCAACTGTTTTTGTACAACGTTCTCGTCCGATCCGTGCCAATCAACCCCCTACCCCCAGCACGCACATGGTGGCGAGGGTCTCGGAAGCGGTCGGTGACCTCTGTCCACAAGTGTTTCCGCGGCCCAACTGCTGAGGTGTCCAGCTCCTGCCGGGTCGCCTGCAAGCGGCTGTTGATGACAAGTGGGCGGATGGAGTCTTCGCACAGGATCCCAACGAGCCGCATCATGCAGTGTGGGCCCTTGCGCTCCGTGATGCTGCCACTTCCTCCGGCGGAACCACCCCCGTCCGGTCCGGCTGCACCACCCGTCGACGAACTCCCGCCGGCAGAATCCTCCAGTTCCGGTGTGTTTTCCTTCTCCATGGCGTCGTAAAGGTCCGCCACACTGTAGTCCACACCCTCGACTGTAAACGGTTCAGTTCTGTCACGTGCTAGGGCGACCATGTTGATAACGCCTCGAAACATAAGCAGCGCTTTCGCCGGGATGACTCCCTCCTCCCCCTCCTCCTGCTCGCTGCCGCGTCCAGATTTGCCTGCGCGAACGCCCGAACGCCCGGATATGAGAAAGCGGCCGAGACAACGAATACGCCTTCGCATGAGAGGAAGCCTCAGGTGTACACGCCCGAATTTGGCAAAATTGTACATATTCCTGGCGACTGTCTTCCACAAAACATCGTTCACCTTACCTTACTTCCTCTGGGCGTGAGAGGACAGAACACCCAAAGATTTACCGTATTGGTCGGTGCACCACCGATTGACTATAATCAAGAAAGCATGCCGTGTGGTACGCTGTGAGTGCCTTCAATACCCCACCTACTTGGGGCAAAAAAAACAGCTCTCGAGCATGCCGTAATTTATCTGCTACTCTGTACAAATAGGTTGATTTGAAGCGGGCACTACACACACACAGCAGTAATTTTGTTTTGTTTCCTCTGCGCACACTGCGTCCAACTGCAGAGTAACTACCTATATGTTGTCGATACTCTGTGTCGTCTGCTGGGACTCTAATAGACGACGAATCCACACAATACCAGCATCTCACCGGCTACGATAGCATCGAGGTCGTCGAAGTACGGAGATGGCCGTTTCATGTTGGCGTCGAGAGATCGCAGGGCCGCCACCAGGAAACCCTTGCTCTTCTGCGACATCCTCGGGATCTTGCGGTGCGCGCATGTCCTCTTCAGAAAGTGTGTGGCCCAGTGCGGGTAATCCCTGCCCAGGGCTTTTTTGGCACTCGCGTGATGGGATGCTGCTGCTTTGTTCTTCCCTCCGACGCTGCCGCCGGCGCTCGCCTTCCGCTTGCCGTGGTTTGTGGTCCTCGTGCCCGCTCCCCCTCCCCCGGTCATTGCTTCCCGAATTTCCTTTTCGAACACGACATCTCCCGACTGTGAGCCAATATCCGACGGAGCTGAACTGTCCTCTACCGACACATTGTTGCTGCCAGTTGACGTCGGGCTGCCCTCCCCCTCGTCGTCGTCGTCGCCGCTCTCCGACTAAGTCCAACTTTTTTGTGGGGCGTCGCCAAATTGCTTGTCGTCAGAACCTTTACTAAGACCGCCTGACGAGCTTGCTGATCAGCGTCGTCCGAGAAGCCCGGCATCATCACCGCGCCAGGTGGCACCCCCTGTTGTGTACCGGCATGGGGGGTAACCCTGCTGTGAACGGCCTGGCGGGCCATGCCGCTCGGTGCCCGCTGTGCCGCGCCAGCAGGCGCGGTCTGGGCGACCCCATGCCCAGCAGCAGCACCACTTTCACCTGCATCCTGCAGTCTCAGAGGCACCGATTTCGATCTAGATGGCCGGCCTGCCGCTGCTACAGCGTTGTTGTTCATAGTGTGGGTTTATCGCGTCTGCTGTGGTATTCCTCGGGCCCCTCGCCTGGTCGTGACCGGTGTGTGTACGTCGGCATCGACGCTTTCCGGGATTTTTGAAGAAACGGCGCCCCTCTGCCGATTAGAACCAATGGAAAACCCGGAACCGGTTCCGTNATGTGTGCCTGCATCCCACTCGGTGAGACCTTGATGTGTAGATGTATCTCGTGTCTTGCTGAATTTCCTCCTGCTGCTTTTGATGCAGCTCCTCCTTCTTGTTGTAAATGCAGTGACTCCCGCTGCTCTCGATGAAGGAAATTTTGTTGATCCAGCTACCGTGTGAAGGGTGGTCTTGTACAGCTGCGCTGCCTACTCTGTCAGGACGTAGACCCGCGCTGATTGGAGATCTTCTTCTACCGGTGGGGTTCTCGCGTGGTTGTGACGGGATCAGCGTCACCAATTCCACCGAGACGTCGAGTGAATTTAGCCGGATCAGGACTCAAATTTCACCGACAGCAGTTCTCGATTACACGGGTTGGGAATCGCCCTCGCTCCACCCTCGCCGCTTTACTGCACGTAGGGATTATCGCTCACCCGAGAGTATAGCTTACGATCTATAGACTCGGTTTGGTGGCGCACCTGCCTGCCGCGTGGCCTTATTTCAGCGAGACAATTATTTATGCCCGGGAGAGGGTTGCCACTACAATGAGGCGATACTCACGGCAGGACTTTTCCTGACGTCCGTCGTATACGGGGTGAACTACCACGCTCCCGCTGGCCTACGACTTACCGGTCACGGGGTGAGTGCGCACTCAAATGCCCGTCCGGTGCCCGCTGCTTCAGGTCTTCGTCAAGCGTGAACACAGTTGTTAGACTTGTATTCCGCCGAGCAGTCTCCAGCCCACTCCCGGGGGTGCTTGTTCAGCGCAGCAGGTTAATTACTCCTGCTGACACTGGCCGTACTATCTTCTCTCCTCTGCTGCTGTTGTCGGCGGTCTTCAGTGTCCNGTACTATCTTGTCTCCTCTGCAGCTGTCGTGTCGACGGTCTGCAGTACTTGCCGTTCCGTTGATCGCTCGCGAAGATGAAGGTCTTCTTCTGTTGAGGCCTCGTTGATTCTTCAGACACCAGTTTGCGTGCCATCCATGTAGAAATGTGTAGTGTCGAGGTGCCCTGTACCCAAGGGTCGTCTGCAGGCGGTTAAGTCTTTGTGCAGCACAGACAGAGTCTGTGTGATGCAGCCCGAAGTCTGTTCAGACCGAAGTCTGTTGAGGCGAAGACCGAAGTCTGATGTTGTTGCTAAATGCCGCTTCTGGGACTTGTACTTTCTTTCTTCTTCAGCTCACTTGCAGAGTTGAGATGTTGAGGGATAGCTGGGGAGTATGCCCGGTGGGGCTCGCAACTCCTCGTGATCTCGCTACAATTCATTGTCATATCATCAACGAGCTCCTCGCTATAACTCGTCGCTACATGTTACGTTCTACCAAACGTCACTCATTATACCGCATCTACGTACCATTGCGTGCAGCAATCATACAGCTGCATCTATGCTACTACACAAATCCTACAGCAGTAATGCGCTGTATTTCAAC